AATGTCAGCTGCTCTTTGGAAATAAGGTGGGCAGCTCCATTAAATGTTGGACACATGAGTATACTCTGTTTTATGTGGTTGAGCTTCCATTAAAATATTTAGGTGTTAATTAATTGAAAGGTAGAAGGAAACAAATATAGTTTTAGGAGGTAGTGGATCAAATCAAAAGCAAAATTAGTGATTGGACAAATTATAACCAATCATTTGGTGGAAGAATAGCTTCACTTAAAAGTGTTTTAAACTTTATACCTCTATATGCTTTAAAAGTACTTAGAATTAAATGGGGCACTCTACTAATGATAAAAAGAATGTTCAATAAATTCTTTTGGGTTGAGGGGCATAAAAGTAAAATTTGATGTGGGTGGAAGATTTTGTGTAAACTCATATATGTTGGGGGTTTGGGTTTCCAGCAACTGCATCAATTAGCTGAAATAAATTGTTTGATATTATGGCTGAAGTTTAGATATATGGAATCAATGTGAGCAAAATATTTGAAAGTAAATATTGTAAAAGGTATCATCCAATGGTTGTATCTTTCAAAAATGGCAATCCCGAGGTCTGCAAAGGCATGTTAAATGTAAGGGTGGAAGCAGAGAAGCTCATCACTTGGAAGCTTGAAGAGGGAAGTCTATCCTTTTTTAGGGATCCTTGGTATTTGGTGGACCTGCCTATTTTCCTTAGGAAGGATTTGAAAAAAATGAAGGTTGTGGATTGTTGGCTTAATGATGTCTGGAACGTGGATATGCTTAACAGTTTGGCGGGGAAGGATGCGGCTACTTCTATCTCTAAGATTCCTTTTGATAGAGTTGTTAAGGATAAAATGTTGATTAAACCATCTGATTCCTTCTCCATTACTGAAGCCTTATACCAAAAGCTACATAATTGGAGAGGTGTGGAGCGGGGAGGGAATGATGTGGAACAAGTTTCTGGCTACTTCTATGTCATTCTTCATTTGGAGGGTGTACCATAAACTACTTCTGGTGGATGATATCTTAAAGCTAAAAGGTCTGAGAATTCCTACTCAATGTGTGCTTTGTAAGAGGGAGGAGGAGGGTTTGGAACATATTTTTTTCAAATGTTGTTATTTCCTTAAATTTTTGTAAGTGTTAGGTAAACTATGTGGACTCATCATACCAAATCGGGGGTTAGAGGATTTTAAACATTGCAAGGAGTATTGGAAACATTCTCTTTATAGACATCATATTAATAGTTTGATTCTTTTCATATGCATGTGGTTTATATGGCTAGCAAGGACTGGTTTTAAACATGAGGAGGTTGGTATAAAAAAAGAAAGAGTTTTGTATGATATAATTTCTTACCTTCATAAAATTTTAATGTTTCATTTGTGAAAACTCCATTTTTTTTATGGTTGGGAAGCAGTAGTAGGTAATAATTACACAACCAAGTTTCTGGGGTTGTTCCACTGGTGCTATGTAAATGACCATCATTTCCATGGATTATTGCTAACACAGATGACAGCTAGACATCTGAAAACCCTAGAGCCGATGGAGTGTTTAGAATGCATACAAGTAAATGTGTTTAACTTTTTTCAATCGCCTTGTTTAGTTGTGTGTGCTTTAGATGTGGAACTTTGGGAAGTTTGGATGGAAATCAAGGTGATTGTGAAGTTCAAGTGGCAAAACTTACAAATGGAAATTGATTTTAGTATCCTATAAGACATGCTGCATGGAGGAAAAAAACCACCTTGGTATTTAAACTAGAATTTAGACAAGATTAATGCTTTATCTAATATAATGTTGATTTTTTGGAGCTACTTTCCGAGAGAGGGTAATAAACAACCAAACTAGTTGGCTAATGTTGGTGCTACATCGTAATCAATATTCTTGAATGTAAAGTCGAACAGACACTTGAAGTTGCTTCTACATGGGGACAGTCTGAACATTCCACATTTGAGATGTAGTTATAGCAAGAACTATAGTTGCACGGATATATGGCTTCATATTGGTATACATATCATTGGTATAGATTTTTTTTTGGCATTTTGGTCTTGTTTATTGTCGGTTATTGGCTTGTATTGTAATTTGGAGCTTTTTTCGGTTGAGTTGTAATTGGGATGTGGAACCCTAGAGGTGAATGTTGTATTTTGTTTACCTTTTGGTTAGTGGGTTCTACTCCTCAATCTATACCCACTTATTTTGGAGCGATAAATTTACCTGCGGGTTTCCTTTATATTATATGTATATATAATGTATATGTATA